GTAATCCTGTCACTCAGGAGGATCAGGCAGGAGGGTCACTGTGAGTTTGAGGCCAGCTTGAACTACATAGTGACTTCAAGGCCAGCCTGAACTACATAGCAAAACCTGTCTCAAAAGAAAATATTCTATAATGTGTAGAAATTGAGTGAATATATGCTAATTGAATAAAATACACTGGATTTGAGAAAGTTGTTCAATGCCACAAATAAATTCAATATGCTTAGTCCATTTAGTGAAGGCAATCAAGATATTTAGGTAAGTTTCTTTCTAGTTCTCAGACTCGGCAGCCTTTCTAACCTGGACCCGAGACAGCCTTAGGGATTGGCTTGATCATTTACTTTTAATAGACGCCTAATCAAAATTTAACTCAGAAATACTCTGTCAAATAATGCAACTGCACACTTCAGTATCATATATAAATGATCTCGGGTTTTTTGTCTCTGTATCTTTTATTAGTGTGTATAGAAGGCAGTGGGTCTGTCCTCATTTTGACCTTGGCACCTTGAAAATAGCAGAGGAAGGTATGTTTAGAGGTTTCCAGGAGGGGGCAGATTACCAAGACCACTGTCTTCAATTCTCTACTGCATGTGGAAGGATGACTTCATTGTCTGCTGAGCTAAGCACACAATTTTAGGTGAAAAGTCTTCAGAAACCTATGCCGGAGCTCAGTGCCCCCACCCACCACCCATCCAGCTAATACCTCTAATAGGACCCAGGTAGGCACTGAAACTGGCCAAATTCCACAGTTCTCCGACAGACTGGGGTTCCCAGTAGATAGGCGCTGACCCCAAGGGGACGCTGTGGAGCTGCGCGGGCTCTGTTTTTGCAGTGATTTAGTGACGCAGCTAGAGGCATGGATGCCTCCTGCGCAGCAGGGAGCTGGGACTTAGTGCAGCGATTCTGACTTCCCCTGTGGACAGATTTATGAAGACAAAATGACGCAGTCACTTATCTATGCCTGCAATCCATTTTACATGTAAACAGAATGTTTCTACGTTTTACTAAACACTTCATTTTCTTTATATTGGAGATGAAATGCCATTATAGTAAGCATTTGGAAAGTCCCCGAGGTGTTCACCTTTGCGTAATATATGTACCTGAAAAGTACGTCTGTCTGGCTTTTATTATTGGAGAACTTACTGTTCAAAAGAAGTCCTGGTGGCGAGCCTGGATGCTGCGCCCATGAGCTTGACCCAGCCCCGCCCCAGGACGCGGGTCAGATCCGGTTCCGCACCCAGACCACAAGGCCCCAGGGGTGGGGGTGGGGGGCCCACCCGGTCTGCACCTGCTTGCCCAGCGCCGCGCAGCTACAGCTGCAGGAGGCGGAGCGCCCCGGAGCGCATGCGCACCGGCACAGTGCGATGTCCGGATCCCGGGGGGTGGGGGGCGGGGGTGGGGGGGAATTGAAGTCGAGGCGACCCTGATCTTGGCGCTGCCTTTGTGAGTTCTGAACCCTTGCAGGGAAATGTCCGTGCCGCCGAAAACTCGCTCCAGGGTCTGAGCCACAGTGTGGCCTCCGCCGTGGGTTCCCTGTTAAAAAGGGGCCCGGACCCGGAGGGGGTCAAAGGAGGCCCCAGGAAGGCTCTGACAGCCACGAAGTGTGTGAGAAAAGGCTACAGAAATTTAGAAGGAAAAAGGGATCCTGCCAAGAGCATGGATGCTCACCCCACGCTACCTGGAGCTGAGACTGCGGAAGAAATGGGGAAGGGAAGGCGCCGCTTTGGCCCCGGACGCGTGGTCCCCGCGTGAAGTGAACGCAAAATGGGCAGCTCAGCGTGCGGTCCCCCAAGCTGGCCTGAAAACCTGTGAGTGAGAAACAAACCTGGCTGCTGACTTAGCGCCCATCGCCCACTGGGCGGGCGGACCCAGGATAAGGAGGAGCAGCGCCTCTGGGAAGGAGGACAAGGGCTCTGAAAGAAGCGCTGCGCTAAAGCCAAGCGCCAGAGTGGAAAGTGTGGCTGGAGGGAAGATAGCCGCTAGCATCACATACGCGCAGCGCACACATGTGGTGCACACGATGCTCACACGCAGTGCACATGTACACGGTGCCCACATGCCATGCTCACACGTGTGGTACACACAGGCAGGCAGCTCTGGGCTTGCTCCCTGCCTCGTGGAACCCAGCAAGGACACCATCCCTGACCCCAAGTCCAGAGCAGGTTGCAGAGGAGACCATGCAGCAGGGTATTGGTCACGGACAAGCGGCAGCGCAGAGGCCTCACCTCGGCCTGCCTTTCTGAGGCCAGCAGAGCCCAGGAGAAAGGCTTAGATTGTCTCACAGAAGCCACTACCACCGAGGCCCACCCTGCCATCCCGGGATGGTCGTCTGTGGAGACTGCGGCTCATCAGAACCCACGCAGCTTTCAACCTACGTGGACACCAGCTCTGTCTAGAACGCCCTGGGGTCCATGGAAGATGGGGTGCCCGTGTGGCCGTCATTGGGACTGGACAAACGCTGAGGTTCAGAAGCCTCACTGGCCAAGGATGGAGGAGGGAACATGTGTTTTAATGAGATCCTGGAGAGAAAGATACCCAGCCCAACCCCCAAAGCAACGCCTGTGAGTAATGAGGCTGTAGGAACAGGCTGCATCAGCGCAAAGCACGGCCAGCACCCCATTCCGTCCTGGCCGCTCAGCTGATTGAACTGCCGAAGGCCTCAGATCAGTCCACCCGGAAGGCGTAGAGCTCAGGGAATCACTGCTGGAACCAGACGGGCTAGGTCGCCTGAATCTCACCATCCAGAGAGATGTCGACCACACACGTCTTCATCGGGCTGCTTTCTCCTACAGCACCGTGGGCACCCTGGTAGCAGACAGCAGGAACGCTCTGCACTGCTGGAGCTGCACACCACATCCAGGTGTCTGAAGCTGCCCGAGACACCAGCACACAGTGCACATGGTGACCCACGCTGCAAAAACTGCCTTGGACACAGCCCGGGGATGCAAAGTCACCCAGTGTGCAGATCCACTGTCCTGGCCTCAGTATGGCAAGTTCATCCCCAAACGACAAACCCAGATCTCTCACTCCACAGCCCTGAGCAGCCCCACCTTGACCACCTCGGGCCCAGTGACCTCTGCATCCCAGGAGAAGTCACAGCTGCCCTAGCTGGCCTAGTTACCAGCTTGTGGGAAGGAAGTAAATCTGAGGGATGAAAGTGGAAGAGCTATCAAGTGAGCAGAGATTCTAGAACAGCAAAACATTAGAAATTAGACTACCTGGTGACACGCCCTAGAAACCTAACTTAACAAGCAGCCTTTGCCAGCTAGTGCAGCTGCTCAAGGGTGGCTCCAAGCCCCCAACCTCCTTGCAGCTGTACGTACTTTGCCCTGTGTATTTATCCTCATGGTCAAAAAGTGGCTGAGACACTTCAGAGTGTCACATTTGTGTCCCACACAAGCAGAAAGAAGCAAAAGACAGATCCTACTGATTGTACATCTCTGTAAGGAAGACCTACTGGGTCTCCACTTCTCTCTCGCTGGTCAGAACTCTGCCTAAGAATAGAAGCTGAGGAACGCAACAGGATTGCTGGGTCACAAACAGAATCCAAAAGTTTTATTCTGAACAAATCTGCAGCAACTATGGAAAGGCATTAAAGGAGCTGACTGGTTACATGGGAAGACTTGCGGATGTGCAGTTTCTGCTTGTGTCATCATGTTTGAGTTCCATTAAATGTCTCCCATGTTTCATTTTTTTTTCAGCTGATATCCTGGGTTCCCCCATCTCCCTGCACCCCTGATCCTCAAAGCTGAAACTCCTTGGGGATCTTTCTTTTCCTCCACTGGGCTTTTGCACACACTTGTGTTCCGAGTCTTCACACTGAAGCCTTCGCCACTGGGCCTTCTTCAGGGTCCCCATTCTGCCTGCACACAGGGCCTGCACTTTTGCTTTTCCCTCCCAAAAAAGCCCCTGGCCAGGCCTTTCAAAAAGCCCACCTCCAGCTGTGAAAATCAGAACATCTGATGGAAGCTGCAGGAACCCCACTCGAAGCCCACCTCTCTAAACAGCACTGCACGGTCACTGTATTCTGGGGCCTGTTCACAGCTTGTCCTCGCCCTCCAGAGAGTTTTCACCATCCAGGACCATCTTCGTCCTCTAGATGCTCCGCTTGGACTTTATGACCAATACCACCACTCCTGGCCTCCGATTCTCAGCATCAGCCAGATTCTGGCTGCCAGCCCTGGAGCTGCCGCCTCACACCCAGCAGTGTGCAGCCACCTCCTGGCTTCCTAGCTCCAGGCTGTTCCTGCTCCTCCTCCTCCTCCAACAGGCAGGGAAGGATCGGCTCGGCTCTGCTTGCAGCTCAAAACACACAGCCCTGGACATCAAGCCTCCGGAGCCCCTCTGCTCCCCTCAGCCTAGGAAACTGGCCAAAAATGAGGGAGCCAGAGGTGGTGGTGCACACCTGTAATGCCAGCACTTGGGAGGCTGAGGCAGCAGGATCACTGTGAGTCTGAGACCAGCGTGGGCTCCACAGTGAGTTCAAGCCAGGCCTGAACTATAAAGGGAGAAGGCAAGGTGTCAAAGCCTCTCCCCTTCCCAATAGGGCAGTCACCCCTTCTGTGTCTGGAGTCACACGGAGGGGCAGCTCCTCTACGCTGACCCAATGCCAGCATGGAACAGGAGGCATCGCTTTACTCATGTTCACATTAAGCCCCACTCCAGGAGGAGGAACAGGACTCGGCTTCTAAAGGGAATAAGGTAACAAGGAAACCACAGAGAAAGCACTGGACATACTCCTGACAGGGACTTGGCTTTTCTCTGGCCAAGCCAGTGGTGCCTGGGCTGCTCCTGAACGCCGACCCTGGGTGCTGCAGAACACCTCCCTCTGGTGCCCTTGTCCCAGGTGGGAGGGACCAGCGTCCTGCAGGCCCACACACCCTGCGGCCTTCTCTGTTCACGTGGATGAGCCTGCTATGTCCTGTCAGTGGCACAAGGCTCATCCACGGTGAGGCAGTCTGGTGACAAACAGCTAGCACCAAAAAGCGGCTTCTGCTTTCATGTCACGAAGTAAACACAGTATCTTTTTATTTCTGTAAGGAAAGTCTTAAAAATATATGGCACTAGAGTGTAAACTACACAGCGGGGTCCTGTGCAGCATTCCCGTCAGATGTAGAGCTGATGGGAGGCCAAGGTGTCCATGAAGGGCCTCACCAGGTTGTCAGTGGAGAAGTAGAAGATGAGCCCGAAGGTGATGGAGATGGGGAGCGCGGGCAGCGCTTTCTTGAACACCGCGAGCAGCAGAAGCGTGAGACACAAGCCCTGTGGGACGCCAAGTGTGGGATGGCAGTGACCACAGTGTGGACAGGCAGCACTGTAGACGCACCAGGACCTGACTCCTATCCGGTCACAGTGCGTCTGCCCCTTCTGGGGACAGCAATGACATCCAAAGGGACAGTGAGACAAAATGCCTTGATTAAAACACTAGTGAGGATCTCAGTAGCCAGCACTAAGGAAACCTAAGGTACCGTGTAACCTGTCCCCTCATGGCCCTTCCTGCCCCTGCCTGCATCTAAGGTGGAGATGGGAAGCCAGAGTGCCTTCCTGCATTTGGGGACAGTGGGGCTGAGGTGAGATAGGCCAGAGGGGACCCTGGGGTGACGCCCTCCCCGACACCCAGGAACACAGCCCTTAATCACAAGCCCTGCACCACAACACCCAGTGTGTCTGAGGGGACAGGACAGGAGTGTGTGCAGTGTGGTGAGGTTCCATCTCTTCTCCTCTAAAAGAAGGCTCTCCAAAGTGACAGCTCAGGGTGTAGACCCACCTGAGCCCCAGGAGACTGGGACTCAGGACTTCGGTGCCCCCGAGGCCTGGAGGATATCAGCAGCTGTGCTGTAGGACAGGTGTCCTTTCCGCTCTGGTCCACAGCCCTGAAACTATCTTTCCTCTAAATCTTTGCAGTTCACAGAGGCATCACAGATCATGGGACAAACCCACAGAGCCCTGGGGCCACGCCTTGGGCACCAAGGTCACCTCCCTTATGCTGTCCCACAGGCAAGAAGCCTCTTGTTGGCAACCACACACCCCTCAGGGCTTCCTGGGGGGCCCATCAATCCCCTCAAAAGATAACCGGAGCATACTCAGAGGGCGACCCCCCACTCACGATGAGTATGGCCACGAAGCAGGCCAGCGTGGTATTCCAGTCCCCATTGCCCGTGGCCGCCGCCTTGCCCACCAGCACACTGTAGAAGATGAAGTCACCCAGGCCAAGCTTCACACCCCCTGTGTGGGGAGGGACAGGGGTCTGGTCAGTATCAGGAGAAAGCAGGAGGTGAAGGACAGAGACACCAGGCAGGAAGCCCCGCCTCCTGCAAAGAGCACGAGGGACCAAGGGGTAGCTGGGATTCTGGGGCAGCCATGCATGGGGCAGAGGAGACTGGGCCTGGGCAGAGACACACCAGCAGCCACTCTTGGGGAAAGCCAGCTGGGCCTGGGGCTAGGTGAAGAGCAAATAAACCTGGCTGCCCCGGGCAGGGCACTGGGGACTTCACACCAAGGGAATTACAGATATTCTTCCGGAAACTTAATTTCACTCCTTTCAAGAACATGGATACTTATGGGACAGGGGCTTTCTAGAGGCCCTTTTCCATAAAGTAAGAAAACAGAACTGCTTGTTCATTCATCCTTCCTGGGAAGGAAACTGGGGCTCTGAGGCTTTCCAGTTCACTTTTTATAGCCCAGCACCACTGAGGAAGCAGGCCAGCTTGGCTCAGGACAGAGAAGTGCCACAGGGCCTCTGCCCATGCCCCGCCAACTCTGGCAGGTCCCCTGCCTGCCTCAGCCATCCACTTGCTCTCTGCTCTCCCTACCCCGCTTGCTCCTCAGCCAGCACTCAGAGGAGCCTGGGGTCGCCTCCAGGTCAGGCTGGGAGTACAGAGGCCCCAGACCCACGCCTTGTACAGGACAGGGGAGACTGTGCCCCAGGTCTTCCGTGGTCCTCTCCCAGCACCCTCCCTCTGTGCACACCTCTGACTTCAGCTTGGTCCTGTACCCGCCTGGCTGTCCTCTTGGGCCACAGCCTTGATGACATGGACTGGTTGGGGCAGGGCTCCTCCTATTCCACCTAGACTTGGGGGAGCCCCACTCCACCCCGACCCCCTGAACATGGACACCTTACTTTCCTCCTCTTCCTCCAGCTCCTCCCCAGGATAGCCAGGCAAGGTGGGCTCAAAGACGTCGGGGTATGAGGGTTCCCCAAAGCTGTCGTAGGAGTCTTCTTCTGGGTGTCAGGAAGAGGAGGCCGCCGTCAGCATGAAGAGGAAGGGGCAAGGGAGAGATAGATGCTGGTCAGTGGGCTCCCTGGGAACAAGATGGTCCTACCCAGGATGGCACCAGACCCCGAGGTGTCCTTGTCCCCAGCCACCAGCTGCCCAGATGGAGCTGAATCACAGAAGCCAGGCGCAAGGTGACTGTCAACCCCCACTCAGTCCCACTGTGTGTGTGGAAGCCTATCAGGTGACTTGTGCCTCCACCTCCCAAAGACAGGCTGAGGGGAACGCAGGCGACCCCAGGGATGAGAGGCTGTGACCCCAATACTCACCCATCTCTGGGTCGTAGGGAAGCTGCAGGGCACCCTGTGAGGACGGGTCCAGCTTGGCCATGCCCACCGTCCACACCATGGCAGCTGGGGAAGGAGGCGGAGCCACACTTCAGCACAACCCACAGAGGCCTGAGGACCCCGCCCGCTCCTGCGGCCCTGGCTCTAGATCCAGGTGAGGGCACCATTCTTTCTCGTTGTTCTCACAAATCAGTACGGCAGTGAATGACGACAGTGAGGGCAAGCAGTTTGGTAAAGTCACTTTAAAAACTGTGTTTAAAAACACATACAATGTATTGCCTTATCTGTCTCGGCTTTGCTTTATTTTATGGTACTAGGGATTGAACCCAAGGAGGGCTGAGCTGTATCGCCTGCCTGTCTTCCTTCCTTTTTTTCTTTCTTTCTAGATGGGATCTTGCTGAGTTGCCCAAGGCGGCCTGGAACTGAAATCCTCCTGTCTCAGCCTCCTGAGTAGCTGGGATGCAAACATGCACCACGACTCCCAGCGATCTTATCCATTTCTCAGCATACACCTCAGTAGGGTATTCACACTGTTGTGTAAAGATCACACTGTTCCAGCTGGTGGTGGTGGTACATGCCTGTAATCCCAGCACTCCGGAAGCTGAGGCAGGAAGATCACTGTGAATTCAAGGCCAGCCTGGGCTGCACAGTGAGACCCTATCTCAAAACAACAACAAAAAAACAAAATCACACTTTTCCATCTTACAAAACCAAAACTCAGTACCCATTAAACATATGAAACCCATATCAAAAATCAAAATAAGATAGAAAAAAAATCCTAAATTCATATGGGACCACAAAAGACCCAGACTAGCCAAACCGATCCTGACTTAAATGCCAGCGGCACCCTAATACTTGACTTCAAAACACACTACAAAGGGGCTGGAGAGATGGCTCAGTGGTCTAAGGCACCTACTTAGAACAAGCTTGGCAAAGCATCAGGG